GGCCCGAATATATGACAATTATTTGTTAAAGGTCTTGTTTGGCTTTCGGGAAAAACACAGCTCACCAGTGCCGGTAAAGTTCTCAGCTTCCCTGTCTTGGGATCCCTTTCTGTCAGCTGGAGTTCATCCAGAGGCAACGCTGGCATCGTGATGACTTGTTCCTGTCTTCAGCAAACAGAAAAACAAAAGCAGCACAGGATGAATTTTACAAGGTCAATCAACCGAAAGCATAACAAAAGAGGCTACAGCCTTACTGTAACACACATACACACGGCGGCTGGAAATATATTTATGCAAAGTGATTTATACACCACCCAAATGCCAAACCTCGAGGGAACACGCAAGAGCCAGCTGCACACGCCTCAGAAGAAACCTGTAACATGGTGCTGTACGTCCATCCCTGTTCCTTACTGAGAGGCCACAGATACCTTCCAGGACAACAAAAAGCATTTTGGGACATTGTTTAATATGGGAGCTTGATACTTAAATCTGGTTCCTGAAGGGTTGGGCTGAACTCTGTTTTTGCAGTCTCTTTTAACGCTTGCAGTCTATCTCCTGACATGACAAACCGGAGAGGCAATCAAAAGACATCCTGCCAACATACTATTAAAAGAATATTTTCAGTGCTTACGTGGCAGAATCACTCAGTACTCATGCAGATAAGGCACACAGGGTGAGCCTACAAAACACTGCCTGCCTTTCCCCGCCAATTTCCCACATGCTCACAAAACTGTATTTTATTCTATAACAGCATTTTTAAACTCAGAAATATTTCAATTAACTTTCTGAAATTAACTGCAAGTCAAACCTTAGAGTAATTCAAAACAAACTATTATGCGCACTGTTTAAAAAGTTCAGATATTAACAAAAAGTGAAAACTGCAGGTTAACGGAGCTTTTCATTTCTTGGAGTTTTATAGTATTACGATTTCTGTGAAATGGTACTAAAAAGTTAGATTCTTGTTAAGATCTAAGATCACAAGTCTCCTGATACGCATATTTAATTGCAGTCCCATTGCCTGGGCAGAATAATAATTAAAACAAGAGAAGTGTCCCTACAGCTGAACAATACTGATTCAGGAGCAAGATCATAGTTTAGACAGCAAGTGAAAGAGTAACGTTTCTGGTTCCACAGCATTTGTCATCTAGGGACGTAGGCAAAAATTGTGTCACCTAACATTTTAAAGTTCGATTTAAAGAAAAAAAATTGAAAAAAATTATACTAGAGCAATGCCAATATATTGGACAGCTTGGAGAACTTAAAATAATTATGTCTTTCCAAGGAGTTTAAAGATTAGAATAGGGACAAGAGTGTTTACAATTTTTTAATGATAAACAATTTCTTTGAAAAACACACTTTTCAGCAGAATAAGCCAAGGTGTTTTTCAGCTCTTGTCATATATTTAATTTGGCTCTTAGAGCTTCTAGTCATCCTGAAAACTGCGCATAGAAGCGCGCGTTTGCAAGCAAGAAAAAAATGTCAAGTGTCTCATTTCAAGCCTGCTAAGCAGCAAACTCTCCAGTCCAAAACAAAAACACCTTGGAAGAGGCAGCCCCCCTGACAAAATGCTCCTTTGTCTGGAGAAGAGAATAAACCTGAGTATGGAATATCCCCAACACAGAGAATCATCCCCGATCGCT